CTCTGCACATAAATTAGAGAACTTTGTGGGCACTTACACCTTTCAGGAACATGAACTTATTCCATGTTTCCACAGGTGGAAATGAGTAAATTATAAAATACGTTCCTCTTAATGGTCTCTGTTCTAGCTGCTGCAGCCTTCTAGTCATCACCAGCAATCAGTAACTTTCTCATTGATTCTTTTTTTTTCTTTTCTTTTTTTTTGGCCTCTAATGCTTTAAGGGGAATGAAGAGCTAATAATCTCTGCAAGAGAAGATAGACTATTTTAAGTAGCCCTGGAAAGCGACTGCTTCCTTTACAGAATATTTTTTTCTAGAGAGCAGGGCCTAGATAGATGGATAAGCAGGTGAAAGGCGGACTAGGTTATCCTGTTAACAGTAGTTGTGCTTGCTAGATTTGCCTCCGACCAGTCATACTGGAATTATTACTGAAGTTTGAGTGTAATTGCATGTGAAAAATTCTCGCATAAGTTAACTGATTTTCATTTTAAGAGAATATTATTTTCCTCAGCTGTTACTTAGGCCCCGTTTAATTTCAGTTAATCAAAAAGACTGTAGTGTTGACAGCAAAGTCTAACTTTTACACCTGCTTTATCTTTACCATAGACTGACAGAATGGGATGCCAGTTTATGAGAAATACTGTCTTAACGGAAAACACCACAGAGCTGTCTCTTTAAACATAGCATTTGTGCTGTATTTTTATTTATGTATTCATTTCTTAACCATGTTAGCTAATATACTAAAGCGTGTGATTTTTTCCGGGTTATGCAGATCAGTCCTACGCGTTTCTGTCAAAATGACTGTAACAGCAGGGGGTTGCAGTCAGAATTTACTGCTGAGTGTTGAGAACCAGTAGCCGTGCATATTATATAAATCTCTGTTTGGATGTATCTCATGATTTTATAGTTGGAATGCTCTGCAAATCTATTGATAAACCTATGTACCAGTATTCAGATGTAGTACGGTTGATGTGAATGCAGATTTAAAGATCTACAAGCTAGACTCCGCTTTCCTACATATTGCATTGTTTTAAGTGAGATCCACTTATTAAAAAGAGTCCCTCGTCAAAAACATTAAAACTTCATAACTAATATAGTTGAAAAATGCTATGAAAGTGTGTTCAAAATTAGGTGTTATATTTAAAATATTGTTCCTATTAAAGCGAGGTGCTGAATTAACTTTTTTGGGGATTAGATATGAGCTTTAACTGCAGTAGGAAAGCAAAATTAAAGCTAATTTCATGGGAAAAATAATATTTATGTTATAAAAATTAAAGAGCCAGGCCTTTAGGTAGACACCAAAGCCAAAAGATGTTAAGCAGTAGTTAGAAGCTGTGCTCTCTTTTCTTCAGTGAACTAAAATATCCAGTAAGTAATTGGACGTACCTCCAGTGATGTGATCAAAAGAACCTAATTCCACAGGCCTAAACAGCATCTTCAAAAGGGTTGATTCGGCTCCAGCTTAGGCATCGTGGCCTTTGAACCTTGTTCTTCAGTGAGAAGAAACAAAAGATTGCTCTGGGCTGTTTGACCAGTATAGTCTATTCTCTAATTTTGTTTGTGTGCGTATCAAAAAGTTTTTCTCTTGGGAAAATGAAATCTTAAATTCGTGAGCTGCTTCCAGTTCTTTGCAGCCTGGACCCTCAGAAACTGTTTTGTGTGTCAAGAAAGAAAACAGCTTATGAATAACCTGAAGTTATTACGCTAAGGTTCTGTCATTTTCTTCTTGCACTTGACTTCAAGATAAATTATTTGGGTAAATAGATAAATGTAATAATAGGCAGAAGATAACAGAGGACTACGGCTTGATTTTCATGGTTTCTACACAGCGTTCTGTGTGTTCCTTTGTATAATGACTGTAAAAAAAAAAAAAAAAAAATCACCCGCACAAAATTCAATTTAGTACATTTAATATTTTAATATATAATGTATTTTTAATATAGAATATTATTTAATTCTTTAATTGCACATTCACTATTTATTTCACTGTTTATTAGGTCCCTTCCGTCCTTTAGTGTACGCAATGCACAGAACATCTATTAAGTGTTTTATGGTCTCTTCATTTTTCAGGGTGTGGCACCGTGTCTTATTTACAGCATATAATTAAAAGCCTTTTCTTTTTTTAAACAAGAAATACTACATTTCTTGTTAATGTTTCTTTAGAAATCGGGATTGTGCTCTCCCTGAGAGCATGCAGGCTGGAAAGGTGACTAGGTGAGACACAGGAAGCAGGGAGCCTGCTACATAGGTGTGGAGAGGGGAACTCTAGAGAGGGAGCAAAGGGCCTGCCCACCTGCAAGGTCTCAGGCCAAGCTTTCAAGGTAAGGAAAAGAACATAAATTTCTTGAGGACCGGGAAGACAGTGTAGCGATTTATGTACCTGAGGAAGCCACTAAGTGTCTGGACTAGAAAGCCAAGCTGCAAAGAGGCAGTGAGATGATGATATTTGATTTCAGGTCCTTTTAATAAAGCGTCTCATCTAGAAGACCTACAGTTTTTATATTGGAGAAGTTACGGAGGAGTTACCTTCTGCATTTAATCAGAATTGTTGTTGCTGTTTTTTTAACTACATATTGTTTTCCAAATGTGGGTAGTTTAATAGCATGGGCTATTAGGTAGCTGTACACGGGTCTTGGCTGTATATATGAAGGCAAAAATCTTAGTTAGGAAGACTAATGCGTTAGATTATAAAATTGGGGTGTTAATAATCTGGAAAATGGGGAGGACAAGAAATTCCATTTAGTTCGGTGTATTTTGTAATTTTGTGCATAACTTTGCATGTATTTTGTCAATATAGGAAGGTTCTGCTGTGTAGATTGCCACTAATTCAGTGGTAATTTTTAAGGGAGTGGGGCTCTCGATTGGTTACATTGGAGAAGACAGTTAAACAGTGTTTAAATATATTAATTATACTACATATAATTAAGTGTTCCCTTCCTGGTAACTCTATTCCTGATGTACCAAAATACATAGTAAGTCATTCTGGTATGTTGGTATACTACTTGATGTTGGTGCTATTTTATGTAATAGATGACATATGTTAATAATACAGTCCTCGTTAGTTCGTCGGTTGCAGGGTGCTTGATACTTTAGGCATCTTAGGCAAATTTCTGTTTTCATATGTTAATAAATTTCAAGTAAAAGGAGAGCTTTTACCTACTGAAAACTGTTTTGTTTTCTTTTGGCCCCTTTTTTCATCGTTCCCTTCAATTAAAACATTCTTTTTGTGCTCTTCACAATGAACGTGACAAGTAGTTTGTTTTGATAATGGCTGGAGCTACTTTTTACATACTTGAAGGTTGTTACCCTGTTTCTCCTCAGCCTCCTTCCTTTTCTGGGCTAACTCCAAATTTTTCAGTCTTTTCTTACAGGTTATATTTTTAAGATCTCTGATGATGTTCTTGATGCTGTTCTCTCTTCAGTGGGAGAGAAAACTCTGTGACTTTCCAGAAGTGTGGGGTATTCCTCCTCAAACATTCCACAGACAGGGTATTCCTCTTCGAACCTTAATAGTGCAGAAGTAGAGCAAAATACTTGCCTCATGATTTGTTGGGCATTGCTTCTGTTTATGCATCCCAGACTGTTTTATCTGACTGTATTGTATTGCGTTTGTCCTTATGGAACAAGATCTGGTTTTTGAGATGACATCTGCAGCTGGTGGAAAAATTCTTACCTTGTCCTTCAACGTGCCTGCATGTCCTCTTCCTTCTCCGACCACCTATTAAATTTAATGCGTTTATAGTCTGTTCTTCGTTATCCAAGTCACTGGTAAAAAAGACTCTTATCACAGAAGTGTTTTTGTGAAACCTTACGTGTGTACATTCCTTCATTATGAGAGGGAATTTGAATATTAATATTTGTCATTATTAAATTTTATTTCAGGTGCTCTGTAAGTTTGTGTGATAAGTACAAATACCAACCAAATAAAAATGATAACAAGTTGTATTTTTGATGCAGGGCAAGGTCAGGAGAATTGGCGTTAGTCAGTGTAAAGAAACATGAGTTAGGCTTAAGATGGAGGATTTCCCAGCTCTTCGTCTTTGGTGCAATGACTCAAGTACAGTGGAATGATACTAAAAGTATTTCATAACTGTATTCTGTCAGCACAGTTTTTATCTTTCTAACTTGTGATTTATTTGGTGATTTGACTTCTTGAAACCATTGATAAATAAAGAACATTGGAGGGGGGGGATTGGCGTGAAGTTAATATTCTGAGTGTACCTTGGAAACGTACTTATTTGGTTTATATAGTGTTTAGGAATAAAACATCAGCAAATAGCCATATTAGGGGAAAAAAAAAAACTTTAGCTAATTGGTTGTTGCAAGTGGTATCTCTTAAAAATAAATATTTTATGACCCGGTATCTCTATCTTAAATTGAGCTCTGCTGGAAGGGATGAAATCTACCCTCTTCATTTGAACATAGTTGCTATTTTTAGGCCTGACAGATCCAGAAATACCAGTCTGTTACTTTTATATAGGTGTAGGATGTGTTACGTCCCATGCCACTGATCCTAAGAGTTCTGTGGTGTGCTGGCAAAACCTGCTACTTCTGTGTTACAAAGGCTGATGACATCTCTCAGTAAAGATACTCCAAAATAGGCACTGTGGTGTCTGTTTTTGAGGAGTGTAAACTTAAAACTGAAGTGACCATATGCAGTACCTGTAAGTATACCTTATGTAAATAAAAACTTCTTGTGTTAATATCTTGAAACTGGAATAGCATGAATTCTCCAGTTGAAAATAAAAACACTGGGATTTTTGTTGCCTGTTCAGATAGTCATACTTTTTTTTTTTAATTTATGAAGCCAACAGGGAGATTAACCTAAGCAACATCTGACTAACGCTCCTGCTGTGAAAATGAAAACACTGCACAACCTTTTCTACCTAGAAAATAGAAATGCTGCTTTCTGATTTATAGTAAAAAGTAAAATTCTGCATTCTTTCAGAGAACATAAGTATTTAGGTGTTGCTGTTTTTTTTGTTTGTTTTTTGGATGCAGGTTATTAATGCTGCTTTAGCTCTTGCTGCCAGACCAAAAAGTCAAGTTGTGAAAAACAACATGGAGATGTATAGGAGTACGTGGGAGAATCACATCCATGTTCTTACCGAAGCTGTGGATGATATAACAAGCATTGATGATTTTCTTGCTGTTTCAGGTATGATAATTTTCAGGATCTTCTTCTGTATGCTTTGAAAACTTTTCAAAAGAGAGTTGTTTTCAATAGTAAACCAGTGGAAGATTAGTTAGCGTAAGGCTTTGTGAAGCTTTCATGTCTGAATAAAAGATGACTGTGTCCCAGCACAAGTAGGTATTTCTATTAAGGACAACTTTGGACGTGCATAGAAGTGATTTGAACAAACTGTTGTAGGTGCCCGAAGCAGAATCTCTCTTTTCCTTTGGGTACGTTTATCCAACCTCTCAGATTCATTTAGCTCTGCTTCCGAACTTTTCTCTGCAGCTGTGAGAGGTTTTTCCTTTTAGGAAAGGAAGTGCGCATCTATGTGTATACACTTAAAATGGGAGTTTCTCGCAATAACCTTTGACCCCTTTCTCTCCCCTGACCCTGCAAATGTCACATTCCTGCAAGTAGTGCAACACAGAGTTCCTTCAGCAGAGCCAGCTCTATAAAAGAGGTTGTAATATCATACTACCATGAACAGAAATTTTCTAGCGGTGCTTAGATTTTTGAGTTTGAGGGAGGAAAAAACAGTGATGCAACGTGAGTTTTGTTAGGCACTTTGGCATTTCCGTGAGCTGTGCAGGCAGCAAGTATTTGAGCGTCCACAGTGATTCTGGACTTGTATATAGATTATTGAATATAAGTAAAATTTGGATCCACAGTAATTTGTGAAACACGATGAAATCACACAGGCTACTTTCTCAAGCAAAGATGTATTGAAAGACACCTCATAAACTGAACAGATGCACTGTAGCGTTCCAGAATTTTTGGAGTTATAAATACTTGTCAAGGAAAAAGCACTTTCAGATTCTTTCACTGAAGAGGCACTTAATATCAGTAAGCTATATTTACTGAAGCAGGAAGAGTCTTCAGGATTTAAACAGAAGATTAAAAGAATAGCTATTTACTACTTGCCCTTTAAAGACCAAGATGCTATATTTTCAGCTTCTCTTAAGTCAATGCAACATTGACAGGAAGGAAGAAATCTTCAATAAATGTTGCTTAACTTTTATGTTTCCTTATGGTTAGTGTGCCTTATGCTTGCCAGTCCTTCTCTGGAAGAGACCAGTGAGCTTAATTCCATTTGTTTGGGTTGTTTGGCTTATGTAGTAGTGCAGAACACAGACAGTTCTGCAGATGTCAGTAGTCTGAAAGCCTTGTAAAGTGAAGTCAGAATTAAGTCCGTTTTTCCAGATTCCTCTTTATTCATTAAACATGAAGACGGACTGTCAGAAGGGAGTTAGCTGGGATATTCATTCCTCTGCTTGTTTGTTTTCAAAAATGGCGTCTTCGCTATGGTAACTGGAAGCTGCTGGACTGCAGTCCCCATAAATGACTGGTGTTTTTTCTTGTGACTGGGACGTGGCTATTACAGTGCAAAAATTGTAAGCAGAGATGGCTGCTTCGGCCCTTTCTGGGTGAAAGACTAGTGATAAGACGTGTCTCTGGTGCCGCTTATTTATGGCGAAAGTATAAGAAATGGTGAATGTTGGTATAGCTGGAAGAGAGAGCTGTTTACGGTGTTCTTTGAGAGTTCAACTTCACCAGTACGTGGCTTTAATTGTCATCTGATTTTATAGTCACCATAGCACCCTTTATATTGGCACCCAGTGGCTGATAGAAATGTCTGTAAAAAGTTTATCTCAGAAAATGGATAAAATACTAATTGAGCTGAGATTTCAGTGTGCAGAAACTCCTGCTAAACCGTATTTGGCTAGAATTTTCCTTTCACTTGTGTGAATTTGGTAACATTGCCAGTACATCTCATGTAATAAAGAAGTCTTTTGTATTTGGAAATACAGATTTGGAAATAATGCAATTTAAAATAAATGAACCTTATACACAGGACTTCACTTAATAAATAGCTAAATTATGATAAATAAATTTGGAGTGGTTTTCCAGTAAGACTACAGCTGCTAAGGGACAACTGATAGGTTATAGTCTTGCAGCTGTCATATTTGTCACGTTTTTCACCATCATCATGATCTAGATTCAGCTACTCTTCAGCACAGCCTGTAAGTATTTGCTCGATGTTAAGGTTTTAAATCTCATTACTTTTCTGGCATGTAGACTAAGGCTTGAGATTTAAGTATGTGCTTTAGAACTTTGTCGAATAGGGATAGATCTGAACATGCTACGAGGGGCCCACAGCTCAGTTCTCCCCTTGAGCTCTGGCACGTTACAGGGTTTTAATCATCGCCATGTTTAGCTAGCTGCTTAAATGAGAAATACCCTTGCTCTTTCTGTGACCGCTTGCTGTTCCCTCTGCTAAATGTCATATAACGTAACCCCTTCCTTGGATGAGTGTTCCACAAAGTAATGGAGAATTTCTGCCCTATCTGCTTATGAAACAAAAGTACACGCCCTTAGGTCATATACCTTAGGTATCCAGCCGTTAATTAAATCTTTCAGATGTATGGACATAAATTTAGGTCCAAAGTTGAATGTTTATATAGTCATCTCTCTTTCCAGCCCATACGCAACAAATTTTTTCTTAACGGGAAAAAGCGGTGGTCATTTTGTGGGAGAAATGATTTTACTGCGTGTATTGAAGGTAGTATATTTGCAGTGTGGAATCTGATTAGGTTTTCTTTTTCCTCAGGAGTAAGCTGGAGAGCATTTGCTCGAAAGTTAACCTGCCTACTGCTGGATATAGATTGTGGTTCTGCCTCAGAGCATGAAAGTTCTCCTTGCTTTACTTGTTGAGTTGGTATACCTAACAACTGGTTTAGGCCTGAACCTAGCACAATGTACTGCGAAATAGAGCAGTTCATTCTTTAAGCTGTTCTCCTACATATATCTGAGAACAGAAAAGCATAACAGGTTTTTCCTATGCAGGTTAGCGTTTTATGGAACCAGATTCTGAACCCTACTCTTCCCTATAGGATCCAAGAAGTTGCAGATGTTTCCTGTAAGACTGATACTGCTATTCCTACAAATAATACTAGATCTGTTAACGAAGGGGAAAAAACAAGTCAATTTTCTAAGTTGCTACTGGATTAAATGCATAAATCTCTTTACCCCACTCTGAAATCTCCTGAGTTTTAAAATTCATCTTTTGAATTCATTGAACTAAGCATATATTTTTAACTACGGACCTGTGATTTATTTAAATTGTATATTTCAGATATTTCTCAGAATTCCCTTAGCTAGAAGAATAAAAATCGGGAATTCCTTTAATAATTTGGGGAAAATTGTATGGCAATTAGTCACTGGGCAAATAGTCTTTCCAGAGTAAACTTGTATTTTCGGTGCATTTTATGTTACGTGGTTCATTATAGTTGGATGATTCACTATTTCTTATGGTGAGTAGAAGCAGAAACTCCACTAGCAGTGATATGTAGGGCTACGTATCATGAGGTCCAAAAGGGTAAACACTCCTATACCTGTTCTAAACCATCTGTAGAGTATCTTTTGTAGGCTTTGGCAGGGTTCCTTGGCACATGTTAATTTGATTAATGTTTAACTTCAAGTGTCATGCTTGTTCTTATGTGGAGGGCAAGTAGATGCTTCCTAATGAGCGTGCCACCTATTTGCTTTGGGAAGGTTTTTATTGGCTCATGTGTATAGAATTAATTATTAAGATGCTTGCAGTAAGGAAAGGCGCAAGCTACTCAGTCTGTCCTTCAGTGTATTAGCACTGTTACTTTGTTCTGAGAGAGTAAAACGTTCATGTGCTGCTCTGTCTAAATAGAAAAGTTAAATGTGTAACAGAAGGTAGCGTCCAGCTCTCTGGGAATTTACTTGGTAATTAGGAAAGATAGTTTAGGTTGAGCGTTAAGATTAGCTTTTCTACAGAAAATGACAACGTGAGCACATTTGAAAATTTTGATTAATAAAATACTTTATTTCAAATTGATATCATGCTGTATTAGTGCGTCAGGTGTACACGTTTGTTTGAAATGGCTGAGTTCTGTGGCTTGACTGTATCTTCTTGGATGTGGCATTTTCTCTTTAACGGGAGGGCCAACATACAGGTAAATAGCATTTGTGTATCATGGGAGGTTTCATTTGGCTTAGAGCTGGGCTAAGTGGTTTAAGTGAGATCGCACAACGCCTGAAGCCAGGCCTCTATCTAGGGCCATTTAGGCAAAGTGCCCCCCCCCCCCCCCCAACAAAGTAGTTTATTTTGAATCAGTATTTTTATGCAGCATGCTCACCTTCTGTAAAAACAGAAATGAAAGTAAAAGTTTAATGTGCCTAGAGCCAACAGAAAAACTCCCGTTTACTTTCTGGGCACTTTCATTCATAATAATTAGACTATAAAAATAACCATGCACATAGCAGGTACTGAAAAATTCTGATACACTTCAGAAGACACAACGTAAAGTAAGACTTGAACAGTACCTAGAAAACTACATCAAGAGTAATATTACTCTATATTGCAGCCAATATAACTGAGAGGAAAATATGACCTATCATATGCCTCATACACATAGAAAACTGTTCAGACAGTTTTAACTACTTCTGTTACGTGATAGTTGCAGCACTGCCGTTTATGTTCTGCAACAACACTTACAGTCTCTGAGCAGAGGATTCCTGTTTATTAGTATTCCTCTTTCATAAAAAAGTAGTCAACTGAAAATCACACTGAACAAACAGCGACCTTCCTTCATTTAGGTCATACTTTTTTCATATTATTTGAGGTCAATTCGAAGTGAAGCCTTTGGACTTTTAGTGAGGAAAAGAATCTCAAACCACATCCGTCTTTCACGTTTTCTTGAGCATCCTGGAAACTTCTGCTTATTCAAACAGAACGTCTGTAATAGAAGCAAGGTACTGATCATTCTGGAGCTGTTTCATGATTAATTTGTTTGGTGTCAGTGTTTGATACCTAGTGTTAATATCATATCCAGAAAATCTAGGGCACTTTAAATATTGCAAATAACCCTTTTCTAGTAACTTTGGTGATTCAGGATTCTGAATCACCCAACAGAATTACCTAGTTAGAGAATTTATTTTCGATTGCATCTCTG